AACGAGGACAGGGGATGCGTTTCGTGAACGACAGTCGCTCCGACAGTCAACAAGAGTAGCCTCGGAAACATCGCCCTGTCAGATCTGACAAGTGTTGTTTGAATATAAGGTAATGGAATGTGTTGTGAGGGATATGATTAATTATCGATCACTTGACTATTCACCATATCCTATCAGACTGTCAACATGATTTTATTGCCGGTAGATCCTGCACCACTAACTTATTATCTACGTATAACGATTGGACTCGCCTGCTGGGCGAAAGGGAGCTAGTGGATGCATTGTACCTTGATTTTGCCAAAGCAGTTGACAGTGTTCCGCATGAGCGGCTATTGCGTAAATTGAAGTCATTGGGAATTGAGGGAAACGTTTTCCAGTGGATCAGGGATTTTCTAGTATAGGTAAACAAAAACGTGTCAGTATTAACGGAACCGTGTCACACTGGGCATCACTGTGCACTAGTGTGCCATAGGAAGCGTTTTTGTAAAATTAATTATTAAAATAAGAATGTTTGTTGAGTACTGAGATTACAGCTTGTACCAGGCAAAAATGGCAACATTATTGGAGTCTAATGAACTGAACCGTGATATGTGCGTACTATGCTCAGGGTCTTAAGTGCTATAACTGTACGAAAGAAAATAGAGCAAATAGATTTTGAAATAAAAACTATGATAATCTAGTTTCTGGAATATCTTTTATCATAACTTCAGACAGAGGCCTTGCAATGCAAATTATTGACACTGAATTCCAGCATGCGATCAGATCAATTTCTGTCCAGTTTCCGCAATTTTAACTATGCCGGATCCTGATCAGGCATTGCAACCTGATCCCTGACAAGGAATAGAGCATTGCAACCTGATCCCTGACAAGGAACAATGCCCGATCATTGTTGTTATATTGCAACACGACGCGAGCTTTCTCGACGACATCATACTTGACGGAATGAAAAAAAGAAGCCTTGCAATGACATCAGAACGACGCAGTGAGACGAACATACATATATCCCAAACCAATATGAAGAATGGGCCAAGATGCATTCGACTGGAGCCTTAATTCAGACACTCAGAACACATGGAGAAAGGAAATCCTATTTCGCTGAACTCATGGAGAGCCATGCGACCGCGGAAGGACAAAAGCTAAGAATAATGCTCACTGTTAATGGGTGCGTCGTGGAGTTTGATATTTTAACTTTATTATTAATGTTAGAATTTATATGAAAGTGAGGTTACAGGAGTTAAAAAATCCCGCTAGACCAATACAACGAACGCCATGTTCTTCTAGCTGCGATGCTCCCAACGATGGTCACTCTTTGGGTGCTTGAAGATTTAAGTGAAATAAAGGAAATAATTAGTGTAAATCGGTTTTGTATCCTTGGCGGCTGACACATTATATTGAGATCTTTTGGAGTCAGATCAAGCAGAAGAGTTTAACTTGTTGCGAAACCGGAATTGCAAACTGAGGTCGGGTAGATCATGAATAGCAATACAAGAATTAACATTTTGTCTCAAATCATGATAAGAACAATTGCGACTTTGCTGAAGAGAAATGCGTTTGGCCTGAATTATTCCAATAATGTTCTGGATCTCGGATGCAGTATTTATTTGTGGTCACAGTGAATCTCTCGGACAGCAAGTTGGCTACCAAAGCCTTAAAGAAGGATGTGGGACAAAAATTTAAAGATGAAATTTGTTAGTTGAATGGGGATTTAAATTAAATATCGTCATACAAATATGCCACGTCTTCATTTCATACAGACAAGGACCTGATTGAACAATAGATTTGCATAGATATGATTTAGAAACTGCCAAAATTCAATTCATGATTAAAAGAATCAGCAGAAAACGACCCGAGTTCAAGCCTTGAGATAAATTGTCATCTTGAGAATGTAACTTTTCTGGCAGCGTTCCATTTTTTTGTATTTTCTGAGATTACTGTTTGTGAAAAGAATTATTTTTTATATATTTTATTCTGAGAATAAGCTCCGAAGGCACGGTAGTCGGATATGGTTCGTGATGAAGTAGTAGCAATAAACATGTTGCCCTCGTGACACCAGAAAATAATGAGAATAGAGCCAGAAAATGTGTGATATTCCTAGGCTCAGAACTTATATTCATATGTGTAATTGTAGGTCCTGCTAACATTAGAAAATAAGATTGGTTACTAACTCATAGAACTAAGTAAAATTATTAAAATTAAAATTATTGACATTAAAATGGAAGCCTTGCGTTGAAAATAAAAAACTAGTTTCAAATTTTAGCGCCTCTTCCATCTTTTCAGTTAACGATTTAAAACGCTAGCAGACGAATGCAAGTCATGTTTAGTTACGTAATTGCTAATATCGACTTATTAGTATTACTGATTATTTCATAATAATCGTTTATTATCGATCATTATTTATTATTATTTATTTTTTTCCTAGATTCAGCTCTGTTTTCCTTGTGGATAGTAACGTTGATAAGTAATAAAACTCGAATTCTTTTTCATTATATTCTCAATGTAAATTTACGGGACCTCACATGGTTGACAGTGAGAATAAGACGGATTGGCGGGCACCAAATTTTTTTAGAGTCTTTTACACCAAAAAATTGACGCAATTTGCCTACAAAGAAAGGAAGCAAGGATTGGCTGGCACTGCGAACATTCACTGTCACGTCGAATTCATCACTCATTCAATTGCTTGCACTATGCCATGAGACGAATAATTTCCATGTGTTATAATAATACTGCAAGGCCTGAAATTCCTGTATCAAGCTCAAACTTTGAAAACACACAACTACTCGTGCGCAATGCAAATCAAACAAAAACCTTTTGTAGTCAGAATAAAATTTGTTCATTAAGGATGTAAAGGCCTGCGGTGAGTGACCTCCCGTACGTTGGCCGCGTTGTTGACACGAAGAAATTTGTGTAGTAGCGGTCGCTTTACATTGACGGCGAGCGCTGTTTGAAGCGGTGGTGCAGGATTGCTGTTGACAGTTTATAGATGACTGCAATATAAGATCAAAATAGTATAGAGTTTGTAAAAATAGTTTAGGTTTGTGGGACGAAAACCGTTATTGTACATAGGCTGTTACGTGAACTTAAGCAAGTTTTGATAGAACGGCTCCGGAGTGGTTTTTCTGAGGCTATTTAAGAGTTTATTTATCGAGTTTTGGTAAAAAAATTAGAATTTTTATCGAAGAATTATGCAAGATACTTCAACAGTAAATATGATCTTTAGTGCACGCCTAATTTTCCTTTTTCGGAAAATACGAGTATCGGTATTGTTAGACTAAAAAAACATAACTAGAACAAAAAAATTTCGAAGAGGCTTCCATAATAAAATAAAATGCATAAGACAAACAGTTTCTTAAGTAAATTTCGTTTGCAACCATAAACAAATCCCGTTTTTTCACCGCCTCTTTTTCATTTGAGTTTAAATTCCCGAGTGTATATATGTTCGACGATGGAGTTTACCTGTGAAAATTCATATACTACCTTAGTTAGAAACAATATTGATTATTTATCGTATAAAAACGTGTCATTTAACCAGCAAATATCAATAAAATCCGTAATTTGACTCTTGAGCCATAACATGGATATATGTAACGCAGAATCAGTAGTTTACTTAATCAAGTACAAAAACAGATCATACAAACAGCATCGTATAAGCCAATTTCTACCACACGTATTTTCGCATGAGTTTGCTATGGTCTTCTAGCTGCACTTGCAATATTCTTCTAGAATTCTAGTGTCGAATGGGCGAAATTTTTGCGCGAAATGTTTGATTGCTATTGCAGGCAGCGAGAAAAAATGTGATACAGGATTGCATCTGCCAGCGAGGACGGCAAGTTTAAATTGCTTCGAGTTCGTGTCATATCAAATTCTGAAGAAGACTCGAAGACATTTTTAAGAGACTGTTAAATGTTTGATCGCCTGCCGGCACTGACATACCTCCAATTTATGTATCAGTGTAGAATTCTGGTATCGCAACGGCAGAACAATTCATGAAATGAGTCGACGTTGACAGTAAAGTTTTTATTTGATAATTTCTTCATAAACGACCCGGTAACAGGATCACGTATTTTTAATTTCTAAATATAACTATTAATTCTATGGAAATCATCATTTTCTAGATATCAGTAAAGTTTTTATAAATTTAACTTGTCATTTGTGTAAAACAATTTTAGCATAACACGCATCCGAAGGTAGCTGTGTGATAGTGTTTTTACAGGTGACATTCCTGTAACATACTATTTTATAGGAATCATTGCTGTGACGATTTAACTTATAGTGAATTTTTACATAATAATAACCTGTGCAAATGTGAATGAAATATCTATATATGACTACTGTTAACATAGTTTAGTTTAAGATGTCATCGCATCTTAAATTAAAGCATGTATTAAAAATTTGAGTCGTAAAAAAATGAAAAACACGACTAACAATTAAATCAAGATCTGATAACCGTTCATGAAGGCCAACATTAAAATAATATGTATAAACGACTTTGAGAAGAGAATATTAGAGATAGATTATTATATAATCTATATTATATAGATTATTATATATTATTATATAATTATTATATTTTATTATCGATTTCATGCATGGCGTAGCCTGAGAAAGGACTAAAAATATTGGAATAAAAATAAATTAAATTCAAAATTAATTTCTCAAGCTCTTCCCCGTTTTCAATTCCTCATGATTCAAAAAGGTTAAATTTAAGACATCGACCCACAATGCAAGGCAATCGCATATCCGAGCTATGGGTATTATAGGTAATCACATATCCGTGTTATAGGTAATATAGGTAATCGCATATCCGAGCTATAGGTAATATAGGTAATCGCGTATCCGTGCTATAGGTATTATAGGTAATAGCATGTCCGTGCTATAGGTAAGATAGGTAATCGCATATCCGTAATATAGGTAATTCAGTTAACCGCATATACGAGCTATAGGTAATATAGGTAATCGCATATTCGTACTATAGGTAATATAGGTAATCGCATATCCGTGCTATGGGTATTATAGGTAATAGCATATCCGTACTAATTGTAATATACCGAGGATAATGGGACAAAGACACCAGAAAACCTAAATTTCATAAAGTAATTATTAACAGAAAACTTTTGTACGAAAAAAGAACTGCGCTGAAATTTGAAAAATACCAGAAGTGAGCAAACTTCTTTGCGCGAGTCTTAAGTTTTGAAAATAATTTCAGGTAAATACTTGGTAAATTGCGGGTGCATGGGATAGGAAAATGTAATATCTGTCTCTTATACACATCTAGATGTGTATAAGAGACAGGNCGATAGCAGCGGCCACTGCACTGGCCGCCATCTCAGTGTTAATAATTCCTTGCCACTGTGCCACAGAACCGATAGCAGCGGCCACTGCACTGGCCGCCATCTCAGTGTTAATAATTCCTTGACGCTGTGCCACAGAACCGATAGCAGCGGCCACTGCACTGGCCGCCATCTCAGTGTTAATAATTCCTTGCCACTGTGCCGCAGAGCCGATAGCAGCGGCCACTGTACTGGCCGCCATCTCAGTGTTCGGGACGGTCGTCAACTCGCTCGTGTTCTGTGTGTTCTACAGGCGGCCGTCGCTGCGGTCCATATCAAACAGGTGAGGCAGGTGGGGGTGCTGCGGGTGATGAGGTAGTGTGATGTGATGAAGAGAGGTGATGTGATGCACCAGGGTAATGTGACGAGGAAGCGTGATGTGATGAAGAGAGGTGATGTGATGCACCAGGGTAATGTGACGAGGAAGCGTGATGTGCTACGTCAGGAAGATGCAATGCGATATGATGATATGATGAATAAGCGTGTTACGATACTATTCAGAATGATGCAATGCACCAGAATTATGTGATGATGAAGCAGAATGTGATGTGCTAAAATAGTGTCATGTAATGTCATTATGTCATGTTATAAAACGAATTAATTTAGTATAGCCGTATAGCCTGTGATGCACCAGCACGTTTTGATACCTTGGCATCATGTGATGATTTAGCATGATATGATCCACCAACAGGATGTGATAAGCCTGTGTAATGTAGTGTTTTAGTGTGATGTAGTGTATTCGTGTGACGTGATTAGAAATCATGATGCATTCAACACAAAGATGTTGTGTTGAATGGTTGTGGTTGTGATATATGATATCTCGTGGTTGTGATATGCAAAAAATCTAACATGACATGATCCGCTGACATTATATTCGAACGAAGGAAGTGAGATTTGCTAGCATAAGTAACTCTATATAAACAAACTTCCCAAAAAGACGCATTTGCTTATGCTCATAAAAATCATGCATCAACACCGTGATGACCGTGATAATGATTGTAATGTCATCACGGTGTATATACCGGCGCACATCATCTGTAAACCATTCATGCAAATCATTGGAACATCAAGCATCATTTTCGCATGTGCCGTAATGGAAATAAATACCTATGTCATAAAAAGTTCATTTTCGCATCTATGTCAGCATTCAGCCTTGCCTCGACTTTGAGGTTTGTGTAAAGGTTGGCCCTTAATCGAGGTTTGTGTTGTCACTGCTTTACAACAAGTTAATTAATTAAATAAATATTGTGCCCTCGTTTCCCCACAGGTTCGTCCTGTCGCTGACATCAGCCAACCTGATCGCGACGGTCCTGGTGGGGACCATCCAGGGCGTGCGTCTGGCCAAGCGTCCCTGGCGTATGGAGGCGTCCGATGGACTGTGTTTCGACGAGGGGTGCCTCGACGAGGGGCGCTTCGACGAGGGGCGTTTCGACGAGGGGCGCCTCGTGGGAGGCTCGGTCCTCACGCACCTGCTGTGCCAGGGGGGACGGTCCCTCACCACCCTCGCCATCCAGGCCGCCATCTTCTCAGTCCTCATCATCGCAGTCGATAGGTGAGCCATCATCGAAAATTTTATAGCAAAATCGATCGTTGAGTGCCGATCCCGATTGTTTAAAAAAAGGTTCCGTTGATTTCGTTAAATTCCGATCGTTTTTGTTCTGTTCGAAACATTTCTGTCAAATTACAGTTTTTTGTAGATTTTCGTTTTTTTTTAAGTTACGCTTGTTTGTGTTTAATCCCAATCGTTTTTGACAAACTCTGTGTGCTTTTGTCAAGTTCGGTTTGTTTTTGTCAAGTCAGTTTGAAGATCGAGTTCCGAGATGGTTTCGGCTACACTAACTGGTTAATGAGTTATCATAGGTCAATTAATATTCGGAATCACTGACACTTTTATGTTTATGTCAAGATATTAATTTATATTACTAAAATTTATTCCAGCAAACACTCTGTTAATATTTGATACGATTATTCAGCAACGTCGGGCAGCGTCAACTCCGTTGCATAATTTTGCCGGTTACGTCAACTCTGTTGGAGAAAATTGCTCGCTTAGTAAACTCTGTTGCGTAATTTAGCGGGCCGCGTCTTTCCTGCAACATAAAAAACGTACCCCTTACTATATAATAATGTTTACGCTATGTACAGGGTGTTACCAAAAATAGGTTCGTAGAGGAGTCCCGAGAGGGGGAGGCTAAAGTTAGTCCTTGAATTAAGTGCGTCATTTGTAGTGACACGTTTTCATATTTAACCCCCTACCGCAGTATGTCACTATCCAGGAACATAACTTTCAACTTAAATCATACGTAAACCATTGAGTTTAGCAACCTGAGGACATTTGTACGCATCAGAGAACATTTTAAATTTGTCGTACGTGGCGGCAACCATCAGTGCAAGTCATTTTGCACTCACTAGAACGTATCCTTTTGGGGGAGTAGGCTTGCGACAATATTGCTCCGGTTACTCATGTCAGGCGGTAGAGGGTTAAGCAGTATATAGACACTTCCTAAGCATAGCAATATTTGTTCTGCGATCGAATTGTGAAAGTTGCTTTAGATATCCGATCCCGTTCATGTGGATAGTAATTTATTTGTGAGCTGTTTTCATGTACCTGACGAAGTTGCATTGAGATCCAGACATAGTATTGTAAATATATTATTCTCTTTGTGGTTTTGTATTGTATTACACACCGAACATTTGTCTCAGATGAGTGTGCGATGAACAAAATTCATAGGGATTGGTTACACGGAAGCTACACATATGACTAAAATTATGCTACAGCTAGATTTATAATAAATATTTGATAGAAAATGCGGAATAAATCGCAATTTAATGAATTATTTGCAACACATGATGCATTGCAATATTTTAAATTTCTTAATAACGAAATGAATTTTCCACCACAGTTAAGATTTCTAATTTTCAGTTTTCGACTCGAATTTGTGAAAAATTTACCCCATCCTGGAAAATCTGTGATATATCCTTTTTCTAAGTAATATTTTAATTGCACGATCTATTTAAGTACTTTATTATACGGTTGATACCTGATAAAACCAATACTTAGCATGAAATTCTTATCTAAATCCCGTTTCGAAGTGGAAAGAATCTTGCGATTCGTCTTCTTTATACCAATACGATCTAATAAATTTGTAAACCAGATTTTTCATTAAGGCTCATTTTTAGAGTTATATTGAAGTATAATGCGTTCAATAATTATTCCCTTAAATGCTTGAACATTATAATAACTTCTGATTTCTGTAAATTCTTTACCTATTCCTAAATTTGCTAACTTTAATAGATGAAAGGCTTACTATAGTTGATCACATTAGAAAAAAAAATATATGGTAATGTAATTATTACATCATCGTGAAAGCAGCGGAACTGTTTCACGTAGCTAATATTTTCATGCAATTAATTTTAATATATCCCTTTCATGAAAATAATAATTAATTATTATTTTCATGAAATTTGAGGGATAATCAATCATGAGAAACGCCCAGCTCAGCCGCTAGTTAAGTATAAAAAACCTCACAGTATCACATACAGTATATTAGATAAATTAGTTCCAGTTTATCGGATTAAGGCGATCCGATCAATAAAATTTGTGCAGACTTTGTATAACTATAAATAAAACTATTAACGGAGAACTATAAATAAAAATATTAACAATCTTTGACACATGCGAAGTTTAAGGCCCCTAAGCAAACTTCTAAATATAAAATAGAAAACGAAATCCTGTTGCGCAAAATGATACAAAAGAAAATCTATGATTTAAACACTTGTTGCCGATTTAAAGTATAAAACGTCGTTTTGAGTGCAGCTAGTTGGAGGCATTGTAGTATTTTAAGTGGTCTTAATTCAGATGCTGAAAACTTACAAATATAGTCGAGTTTCTTAACCTGACGAGTTTCAAATACAGACGAGTTTCTTCCTGATTTTGCGTTTGAATGAAAACTCCAAGTCTGATTTTCTTAAAATAAAGATTGTAAAAGAAGACTTACGATTATTCCAAGTAATGAAATAATTTTAGAATTTTCCAGGAAGAATAACAATAACGAAAATTTGAATTAGCTGATGGCTACTCAGTCTCAATTTACATACATAAACTAGTGACAATAATTTGTATTCAGCAGATTAAAGCAATGATCACTGTTATTAGCGCATTTTCTCATTTATGGAAAGAAGGCGCTATTGTGCTCGTCATGTTCGTCCGTCCGTGACCTCCGTCCGTGACGGACGCACGGACGTGAGAAAATGCACTCTCTGTCACCCACTGTAGTGCGTACTGATCTAATTTTGTCATTATTATTATTATTCAGTGGAATACTGGGGTTCGAGTTGAGAACCTATTTGTCACGGCTCAAACAGACAGTTCAAAATAAAATATACAATTGCGGAAGTTTTAACAGCTGAAGTTTGACTTACGTACTCGTATACGCCTTCGTTTTTGCATCTGTTTTTGGCCGTGAAAGCTTCTGTTCAATTTTATTATTCGACTTATTCTCGTTCAAACGGAACCTTTGTGACGATCACAAATTTTATCCTGTCTTAATTAACTGTCAGAATTAAGAAGTAGTCAAACGATCGATGTCTTTATAAAACGTATTGAACATTCAACTGTCAGGATTGAATAACGAGATCTTGCCCATAGTATATAATGCGGTATATTGCATTCCTGCTTGTTTTAATCATTCACGTAAATCTCGGTCTACAATATTGGTCAAGAACAATGACTTTGCCAGTTTAGTGGTCCTATTTGCTCCTGGATAAACGATTCCAGGTTGACCATCGAGGATATATTTTCGTAATTCGTGAGGCTCATTTGAACGTGGATATGGGAGAGTGTCGCACCATTTGTAATTGTCTTGTAAAAAGTTGCATGTTTTCCATCTGTCTCCTAATTTTTATTTAGTTTTCCGTCGTTGATATGTGCTAGTCACGCGAGTCTGTCATTATGGGTTAATGCATTACGGCAGGTAACCTGGTACGAAGATTTGCCTTCTATTTATTTATAAGAAGAACGTCACTCATGTCTTTCTCGATAACAGAAAGACATCGTTTTTGTCTGTAGCAATTGCTGGCTTGTTGTTTGTAGGCTGGAGAAGAGAAGTGTGTTGTCAACAGGAATCCTAATTTGTTTTCGGTCAAGTGGGGTTTTGAAGGACAGAACGTAGTTACGGGGTTAAAGAATTTTTCTCTGATTTGGCCTTTTTCTTTGTTCGGTGATAATTACTAAACAATCAATTAACTCGGTTTTGAATTATATTTAGTAGCTAAAGAAGTGTTTCATTAAAGCAAGAGGTGAATGTTGTGAAATTATGCAATAATCCATTAAAAACGTGTTCAAGAATAATTATAACGGGATTTCCAAAATATTTTATAGTATTTATTTTGCTACCGTTTTCTGCTTTCAGTATTTCAGGATTATTCTTTCTTAAAAATCGAGAGTCGATATACGAGTGTGGTTCGACTTGATAAGACTGAGCCAAGCAATTCTTATAACTATCGATTCCTCGCCAACCATGCCACGCACTTAAATATTGATGAGGTATCGTTGATACAATAACAAATTTCTTCAAATCCGTCTCTGCTTAACATTTCAACAAAAATTTTATCATTTAAACGGATGACTTTCTAAGCGAGTGATGGATAAAGGCCACAGCCGTGCAGGCAAACGTCGCTTCGTAGGCTACGTGAAACGCCGTCTCGTAGTCTACGTGAAACGCCATCTCGTAGTATACGTGAAACGCTGAGTCGTAGTCTACGTGGAACGCCGTCTCTTAGTCTACGTGGAACGCTGTCCCGCAGTCTACGTGAAACGCCGTCTCATAGTCTACTTGAAACGCCGTTTCGTAGTCTACGTGAAACGCTGACTCGTAGGCTACGTGAAACGTCGTCTCGTAGTCTACGTGAAACGTCGTCTTGTAGTCTACATACGTGAAACGCCGTCTCGTAGTCTACGTGAAACGTCGTCTTGTGGTCTGCATGCAACGTAGAGGAAGCGTCCTACAGGAAGCGTTACTTCGTACGTAGGCTACGTGAATCGAGTCTGTTTTGGCAAATCAACAATACTCAAGGTGCGATGATCATTACCGAAGGCAAGAAGCCCGATATAAATTCCACACGTTTGAGCTCATTTAAACTGATGTGCGGAAATGGATTCGTAATGACGTCTTATAATATAGAGATAATTTATCTCTCAATACATAATGATGGCTTTAAGTTTAGAAAAATTATCTTGAACAATACGGGTTATAGAAAAAAACAAAACAGAAGGTTGTATGTGAGCATTTTGTTGCGGCTAAAATGCTGACAACTAAAAACCTTATTTATAAGTTCTCTTTGGAAATCAATGAAATCAATTGGGGGTAAAGAGAGGCTGAGTTGAATGAGGTTAAGAGTATTTTGTATACAATTCAACTTCAAGCCGTCGTCCGCAAAACTTAAAAGACTACTAAATTGCAGAAACAATATAATGATATTTTCAATAGTTCATGATTGATTTTTTTCTTTTTTAAATGGGGTCTTGTTGGAGATTCATAATCACATATCACGCTACGAATCAATTAGTATATATGTTATTATCATATGAACAAGATCATTGAGCGAAGATACGGGTGCATAGACAAGTTCATTGGGCGATNAGCAAGATCATTGAGCGAAGATACGGGTGCACAGATAAGTTCATTGGGCGATGATACGGGCATACGGGCACCTTCATTGAGCGATGATACGGGCATCTTCATTGAGCGATGATACGGGCATACGGGCAGCTTCATTGAGCGATGATACGGGCATACGGGCACCTTCATTGAGCGATGATACGGGCATACGGGCACGTTTATTGTGCGATGATACGGTCATACGGACCAGTTCATTGTGCGGAGATACGGGCATACGGGCAGGTACATTGAGCGATGATACGGGCATACGGGCACGTTCATCGAGCGATGATACTCGCACACGGGCATGTTCATTGAGCGAAGATACGGGCATACGGGCAAGTTCATTGAGCGATGATACGGGCATACGGGCAAGTTCATTGAGCGAAGATACGGGCATACGGGCATGTTCATTGAGCGAAGATACGGGCATACGGGCAAGTTCATTATGCAACAGCAGAAAATTAAGCACTCTTACCGAGCGCCAGCCAATGACAGTCCAATCAGTCCAATGAAGGATGAGTGGTCCAGACACTCGTGAAAAGCGACGAAGCTTTTGATTGAGTTATACATTTTCTAATCTGCGATGAATCACCAATGAATCACCGATGAAAGGCTGTGAATCAATTGACTGCAATCTGAAGTGAATGTGAAAGTCGTGAACACTTGAAATTCATCACAGTTTGAAAAAAGTGATAACCCGGTAGATGATTGCCAAGTCTTGAGACGCACAATTTACGAGTATATGCAGTGCTGAGAAGCGATGCAAGTGAAAACGAGAAATGTTGATTCTTTACGAACTTTAAAATTAAGTTAAAGTATCCCCTTACCTCAACCCCTTGGTAGATATTGTAACGTGACTGCCCTGCCCTCTCCACCATTAAATTCCTAGGGATGGTAAATAAATGAAAATAAAAAACAAAGCCTAAAAAAAATAAGTTTACAATGAAGTAACCATTCTGCTCCTTGCCTCGATCATTGAAAAACTGCGTCGTGACTGCTTCCTTCCTCCACGGATTTTTGATGATCCCACATATCTAAGCTTTGACGCTCCCAAAAATATAAGTTCTGATGCTCCCTAAAAGAAATTTACAATTAAGTTTTTTTGATGCTCCCACATCATGAAATTTTGATGCTCCCACAAATATAAGTTCTGATGCTTCCTAAAAGAAATTTACAATTAAGTTTTTTTTATGCTCCCACATATCTAAGCTTTGACGCTCCCAAAAATATAAGTTCTGATGCTCCCTAAAAGAAATTTACAATTAAGTTTTTTTGATGCTCCCACAAATCTAAGCTTAGTCCTGTGTATGTGGTCAGTTGTCCTGTGTCTGTGTCAGTTGTCCTGTGTATGCGGTCAGTTGTCCAGTGTATGTGGTCAGTTGTCCTGTGTATGTGGTCAGTTGTCCTGTGTCTGTGTCAGTTGTCCTGTGTATGTGGTCAGTTGTCCAGTGTATGTGGTCAGTTGTCCAGTGTATGTGGTCAGTTGTCCAGTGTATGTGGTCAGTTGTCCTGTGTATGTGGTCAGTTGTCCTGTGTATGTGGTCAGTAACTCAGTGTTAACGGTTCAGTCATGTTGCGTCTGCAGTCTGGCATCATAGCAAGTAGGAATTAGCACCTTGCACGCGGAATCGTCGAGTCATTGTCCATGGGCCATAAACCTCGAACATTTTACCATCTAGGATATGCAGCGATACATAGTTATATATAGTTCTCCATAGAGTAGAATGAGAACATATTGAAAACTAATAAAAAAATACTGTGTCATAAAAAGTAACCCATTTTGTACCCTCCACTAAATTCTTGAACAGGTACGAAAAGAGAAAAAGACAGACATAGAAAGAGAACCCATACGTTATAAATAAAAGTCTTCTTATGATAATACTTTGAAGTCCTGCTCATTGATTAATAAATATAAATTTGCTTTCTTTGCAGTTCGCGAGAACGTGACACGAGAAGTGTTTAACAAGTTTGGGTTCTACTACACCACCTTCCTGGCATTCAGTGGACTCATCGCACCCTTTTTTGTTTTATGTTGGATTTACATAAAAATGTACCAAACGGCACAAAAAAATTCGCAGCGTACACGTCGCCACAGCTTAGGGGCCAATCCTCAGGAATTCATTCTACCAGAGTGTCCGTCAACTCCCGAGTCCACCACAACCAATTCAGTGAAGGGTAAAACTCGTGTATGTCGCAAGCGTTCTGCCAACAACAGCAACGTATCTTTGTTCTTCCGAGAGGAAGGAAGAGCAGTCAAGACCGGCGTGATTGTTACTGTTTCGTATCTTGTATCATGGGTGCCATTTTACAGTTATAAGATCGTAGAAACTAGTCTTTGCCACCATCCATTCGTAGAAGATTTTGTGGTTATATTAGCTCTGTCCGCAACATGCTTCTTACCTTTTATTTATGTATATAGAAACGCAACGGCTAGGAAGGAAGCCTTGAAAATAGTTTGTTGGTGGAAACCAATCGAAATTCCAACACCTGCCCTCAGTCGGCACAGTGTTCATAATCGCATGAGTAACGGTAATTTGGAAGTTCCGTTACCAGTTCGAATCGTTGAGCCTGACGGTACTTCACTTTATAGCTACGCCGCTGAATGCACGGAATGTGGAGCTAATCAGCTTGTCAGCGCACTGAAGCATTATCCTCCACCCTCACCTTGCGATCAGATAGGCCGGGTTACTGGCATGCCGCGACGCCAGAGTACCGTGTCGTTCAAGTTGAATCCTACGGATGGTCCGGTTGCTCGATGCCGGCAATGCCTGCGACAAGACTCGGCTTCATCAGCTTCGTCTGACGATCCTTTACTCTTAGAGCGATGGAGGTATCCTAGACCAAGCATGGCATCAGTTAGATGGACCAAACATAGACTTTCAAATGGATCGGTGACCACTAGAAGCGATTCATTGGCTTCCACAAACTCTTCCGTGATAAGTTATGGGATCGCTCGTATTCCTCTACGTAGGTACTCGGCAATTTCTACTGACACAGGAGACACAATTTTGAAGAAAATTAGCGCTGAAGATTGTACTATGGCGGATATAGCCATGAGACGTTACTCATGCCAGCGGTCGTTGTACTCAGAAGGACGGGACGAACTGAGCGAAATCGACGAATCGATTGAATTTCATGGGTATAGTAATCCTTTCAAGCACTGCAATGCATTTCTTCACCCCAATGTGATTAGTTCTAGCAGCTTGAAGTGGAGTGCGCACGATATATTCGATTCACATCTAGATTGCAAAATAAACTGCAATGGGCATTCGTCCGCTCCTAACATCGAGCGCCTGCAGCTCCCCTTAGAGAACGGCCGTCCTCTGAAAGAGCATTTGTGTCAAGTACATCCTCATCCTTTGATCAGTTTTAAAACTCTCGCTGAGCCGGAAAAGATGTGCATCAACGGATCGCCGGAATTCGCAGGAAAGCTGTCACGGAAAGTGCTTCAAAGAGCCACCAGTAATCCACGCTTTCTGCGGATCCCCGTTGTAAAGACCCGGAACAATGGAATAAGCACGAGGCTCGAAAAAGATGGCCTTGCCTTTACAAGCGACTCTAATCTGAACGAAGGAAAGCGGCAAGTTATCAAGGAAAGTCGTTCAGCGGAATGAAATCTATTTTTGTTAGCAGGAAGTCAATGTTCGGGACACAATATAAGGAAACTGCATGGACGAATTGTGACTTACAATTCACCTGCCTATTATTTTTAAGGAATCATTTTGAATTCTGCCAAATAAGGTACGTAGGCACAGCGTGAAGACCAAACTATAACAAATTGTTATTAATTGCACAATATTGATGTTTAATGCTTATCTCATAGCGATCCACGCAATTATACACTTAAAATAAACAGCATTACGATACACGAAGATTATGTGTGCACCGGCTACGTCAAACTTCTGTGATAAACCAAAACATTGATGTTTTATTATTGATCCTTGGTGTTATATTATAATTCATCTACCACGTAGCAAATGTATAGAAATTTTGATGTAAATAATGTAAGTGCAAATCTTAGGATATAAAATGTCTTAAAATTAATTCTGCAAAAATGAAATTTCAATACTCGCATTTAAAGATATGATTAATATTTAAATTTGCATTTCTATACTAATTTGAGCAACAAAATCCGTATTCTCATTAGTTTCGTCAGAAGCATCAACGAAACCAAATTAAAACTTGTACAGCCTTCTGGAGATAATAGGATTTTATTTAGGAGATAAAAGGATATTACCTTTTAATTCGGAGAGTTAAAAGAAATAAGAAATTAAAATTATTATTTCTTATTATTAAAAGAAATCTTCCCTCACCTAAAGAAATAATTTTTCTAAGAAGGTTAGCTTCCTTGTCGTCTCTAATTAAATTATCATAAATTAATTATGTGTAATTCCCAGTCCTGGAACAATTTTAGAGTAGAGGATTCGGTTCCCAATGAATGGAACAAAACATTTTACCAGGAATTAAACATTCGATGGCGTTGCACTTCTCGTATGAGTTACTGAAAATAAAATTAGAGGAGCACTTGAATGTATTTTGCGGAGAAATACGATATGGAATTTATAGATTTAAAAAAATTATTTCAGGAATTTTATTATTGGACATCATAATTTCTGACATGCAGCTGAATTCATAATTAAAAGCTTAAATTAAAAAAAGGCAAGGCTTAAAATAGCACGTAAGCTCTATTAATGCCGGAATCCCCAAGAAATGGCACAAAATCGTGAAATTTCTTTCTTATTTCTTGAAATCATTTCTTTTAGAAACCTATAGTTTCATCAGGCGCACTGCGTACGCCATAATAAGATGAAACAAATTCGCAAAAATTTCATAATATGAATGTGCTTATATATATATTTTTATATTTGTGTAGGCTGGCAAAATTGGTTCATTTAGACACGTTTGATTGATGGACATGTAATTGTTTCTATTAGTATTCTTTTTCTTAGTTCTTTCAATAAGTGAGTATTTAGCCAGGGCGTTGGTAGTTCAAGTTACCAAAATTTATTTATAAATATATTATGTAGGAGATTTTATCAATTAACCTTTTGTTTCTCTTATGGAAATGCGATTCTAATAAACTAGGTGTTATCATGAGGAAGACCTGAGTCTTTCCCACAGATCAGTGCAAGAGCCCAAATAAATTATTGCCAGAGATAACAATTTTTTTTGCTTTGAGGCGGCAGGTTGTTATCACGACAAAATACTTAATAATACAACTCAGTACTCACTGCAGTGAGTGACAGAGAGCGCATTTTCTCATCGACGAAAACATGAAGTCACGGACGGTCAGACAGACGGACAGACAGACGGACGGACGGACAGACGGACGGACAGACGGACATGGCGAGCACAATAGTGAATTTTTTCCATAAATGAGAAAATGCGCTAACAATGTTCAAATGGAAAGTCGACCTGATTCGCAATACCCTCATGGGTTGAATTTATTGTTCTCAATTGAAGAGGTTTTCAACAGGGATAGGGCAATGGCTGATTTTTCACTCGGTTCACGGCTAGCTGGTAATTCAGTTTCCAGCTAGCCGTGAATGAGGATGTTAAAATATATTTTCTTTCCATGTTATCAATCATCTGATAACTGGCCTTCATCCTGTGGCGAAAACACTGAAATATCAAGCGGGTGATCAATCATATTTTAAATTTATGTTCTAAAATGCCATAAGAAAATGTAAATGATTCAGCCGAAGTGATTCCTTTCGAGCAAAGGTTTCTAATTTCCGTATTTTGATAGCTCCATTGTGTGTTGTATATCACCTTTGTTCTACTCATGTAGGAAGAATATCATGTATCACCTTTGATACATCATATTCTCATATTCACCTACTCATGTATCACTTTTGTTTTACTCATTGCTAGGAAGAATAATTTATTCGTTTTTTACTAAACGCCCAGTGGTGTATATGTGTCCTCAATCTTATATAAGGACTCCTGAACGATGTTTGCTTTGATATTACACGGCAGAAACGTGCCTGGGAAGTGAAGCAAAAATTTTTATTATTATGGTATATAAGAAGAATTTTTACGAACACTTGGGTTTCAAAAATTAGTCTAATGGAGAGAGCCGTAGTAAATCATTCAAGACAATATTAATTAGGCTAGAAATGTTATGAGGGAAGGATATAATTTTCTATAAATATTGGGGAGCAAGTAATCTTATTTACATGTAAGTGGTCATAAAATAACTGTACATGAAGAAAGAGCGACGATCTCTTTGCAAGTGAATCGAAATAATATACATTGTATCCATGAAAAAAAATGAACTGCATCATGAAAAACTACCGGCTAATCAATGCTTCAATTTGTGCTGTATATGTTCAATTTTGTGCACGCTCCATAGAAGTGCATGACTGAAATTATGTTCAAGTCATTGATGTCAGTGTAATTATGTTGCTGGCTGAACATTACATAGACCTTACATACATACATAACATAGAACATACATAACATAGAACATTACATAGAAGTGGCTGAAGCTTACAATGAGTACAACCGAACTAAGGAAAACTTTCGGCTGATTGGGCACGAAATTTCAAAGACCTCGAACCTTTTCAACGAGAAAAATTTGAATGAAGTTAAAACGATAACAAAGCCTTTGTAAATCCGGGATTGCTGAAATAAAAAGGGCGATTTTCATCTTTAATTGATGATGATTTTCATCCTTAATTAACGTAGCTAGTATTCATTAACCCTATCATCATCTCTATTAACATAATGTATTGCTGTTAAGATGTCCCAAAAGAAAGATTAATATCACGTGAAATGTCAGAAAACACAAGTATCAACAATGAATAAACTGTTTTAATTCGTGCCATAATGTTATGAAGATTGAACAGAGATTTTCAGTGTAATAAATACCTTCTATTTTATAAGTCGTCATTTCATTCTTCCCAATAGAGTCAATGCAACTAATACTAATGCGTTAAATGCTGTTAAGAAACGATGAGTTTTTTAATCAGAGGAATGTACTCTAGATGAGATCTCTAACGCATATGTGGACTATATTAAAGGTCATCTGATAACTCTATGTAATCATCAAATAATTGGACACTAAAACATTACCGGTCCGTTTCGCTAGAATTGAATATATCCTTCTAGTGTTTATTTTACAGACGTCTGAGCTGCCACTTCGTTTGTTAATGAAACAGCGGGAAAATTCTGTCTCATATTCTGGCCGAAGATACACAAAAAATTGTTTCTGCGAAAACCTTCAGCAAATAAATGAAAACTTTTCATCAATACTTCCACGTCGATTTGAAGTTGTAGTGTCGGTACTCAAACAAACAATATATATGTTCGTTCAAGAAATGAGGACAATATTTTGTCGAGAAGTAGACAGTTACATAGACACGATATATATATGAGAAATACACCCGATATTTATTGTAAAACTGGATATGAAATTTGCTTGAGACTTCGTCACGGACTGAACTTGTCGAGTTTAGAACATCCGAGCATGACATTTTCGAAGGGAGTGCACATTTTACCTCCTTTACGAACGTCCATTGTTATTCAGTCGAGACGAGTAGTGAATATTTAAGCGTTCGTTAATGCCTAGAGTTGCGTTGCTTTTTTTATACAGCGTAACACAATTCACTACGGGACAAATTGAAAGAGGTTGATCTAAAATCGAGTTAAAATAAATATTCAACAATACGTTAAGCTTGACAGTGGTCAATGCCACTCGTATTTTGCTGCTGCCAAATAACCATCAGCATGCAGAGGGTTAAAATTCCTGTTCGGTCTCGAAGTACTTTACTTGAAGCTCTGTTCGGTCTCGAAGTACTTTACTGGAAGCTATGTGTTCTTGAGCGTTTGTTGTATCTTGATGCAGGAACAATCCATATATAAATACCAGTCAGAATGTTGTCGAGTGTCAGTAGGTTCGTACGGACGTCGCAACAACGTAAGTCTAATCATACTTGAAAATTTCCTTCATTGTTGGGGCTCATAGGATATACAGTTACATCACTTTAATACATGTCATGAATAAAGTGACTATATCTTTGACTTGACTTTTTCAATAATTTTTTATAATTTAATAATATCATTTAATATCTAGATAGTAAGTCTACCACGAATTGAATACAAAAACTTTCTCAATACAGTACAGTTGCGACTATCTTGGGGCAGATGATGAAGGCTTTCGTCAATAGTGGCCTCACGTTTCCTTATGATTTTGATTCTGGAAATTAAATGTAAAATTGGGGCAAATATTGTGCTAACATGTATTTAATCTTTACAACTGTTGAACTAAACAATATTGACAATTTAACTAAACATTCCCGCTTAGAGAGGCACTGTAAGTCCCAATTTGTACAGTTGCTTACTTTTTTTCTAAAAATCTGTCTCACAATTTTTTCTAGGCCAAAGCTCTAATTTCATTGGACCGAGGCGCCCATTTTTCCTTGCCAGAAGCTTGAAAATTTGACAGACCGAGTTTTATATTTTATTAGACCGAGGTTCGCAGTTTTGCTTTACGGAGGCTCAAAGTTCTATTGATATGCAGCCTGCAGTGTTCCCAGACTCAAGATTACAATTTCCTTTTATCAAGGCATTCAATTTGATAAGCTATAACTGTTTGTACTCACACGAAGCTTAATATTTTACACGTGAGAGAACCACAATTCTAGAGGGAGAAGGTAAAAATTTTCACCAGACCGATACGTTGAATTTTATTTGGCTGAGGCTCGAAATTTTAGCAAACTTATTATGTTCAACACATTGAGGCTTGCATTTCTACTAGACCATAAGGCTTGAAACTCAGCCAGACCGGAGCTTACGATGTAACAAGATCAGGGCCTAAAATTTGACCAGACCCGAGCTCACAATTTTACTATATCGAGGGACTCCATTTTTCTAGACCATCTCACGGTGGTTTATGAATATCAAGCGTCGCGGGGCTGCAGGCACGTTTGTAATCTGGAGCTTTGGTCCAAATTTTGGGATGCGGTACACTGCCCATTCGGCAAACAATTTACTTTGCCCAAATTGATAGTAGCTGCGGGAGTCAATTCACTCTGCTTCCATGGTTTCAATTTCCTAACTGAACTCTGGAAACAAAATTTGCTGATCTGACTAGGGTTGTCGTAAAATCAGAAATTCAACTGTCTACTTCTTGCACACATGGTCATTCACGGGTATTATACGCTTTTGAACCTAAAATATTTTTTCTTCACTACAAAACATCCCTTGACGT